GCCACGCTGGCGACCCAGCCAACGAGCTCTCCGATGCCCTGGCCTGCGCAGGTGCCTCCGGGATGGATCCGCAACATGCCTTTGACTGGCCAATTGAGCACCTGCTTGCGGATCAGGCGATTGCGGCACAGTGGGTACCTCATGTCTGTGTTTCCTCTCTGCGTCCTGGTGAGGTACCCCGCCTCCAGGAACAAGTCATGACATGGTCCAGGGAACCCAGTGCCTGTACCTTTGAGCCTGCGTTTGCAATGCGTCCTTTCCTGCGAGCGTTCCCGCCTGCGCCCGATGCAAGCGACGGCGTAGGGTCCATCTCATTGGTCCTTCGGGCTGTTTCCTACAACGCTTTGTCGCTGTTGGATGGGGCTCGGGCTGGCCAAATGGGTCTCCATGGCGCTGTGGGCCGGCCGACCCTTTTGCAGCGTTCTCTTGTGGAGGGCGGAATCCACATCGCTGGGCTCCAGGAGTGCCGCACGCCAGCAGGACGCTCCAAGTGTGGTGAGTTCACACGCTTTGCTTCTGGCTGTGATGATACTTCCTGCTTCGGTGTCGAACTTTGGATCAGTGACGGTGGTCCCTGCTCGGCCTCTTCCTGTGTTGTCTTGCATGCAGACCCTACGAGGCTCATCGCTGGGCTGTCTATCGGGGACATGGTTTTTCGAGTTTTTGTTGGCCACGCTCCACACCGTGGACACTCTGAGTGTTTTCGTTCGGCGTGGTGGAGCTCTACCACTCGCTTGTGCCAGTCGTTCTCTAGCGGACTTCAGTGGTTGCTCCTGCTTGATGCCAATGCTCGGCTCGGGAGCCGTGTTACTTCTGCGGTTGGAAATCATCAGGCGGATGATGAGGACTTGGCCGGTGGCCTCTTCCAAGCCCTACTGTCCAACCTGCAGGTCTGGCTTCCCTCAACCTTCTTCGATACTATGTGGGGAGAAGGGGGTACCCTCCTTCAAAAGCGAAGCGGTGCCTTTGACCGCTCTGATTATGTTGCGGTGCCGGTTAGCTGGAGAGAATGTGAGTGTTGTGCTTGGACCGAGCCACGGATCACCTCTGGCCATGCTTGTGTTGACCATGTAGCGGCTGTCGTGCAAGCTGTGCTCCGCCTTCCGCGTCGCAATGCTCAGCCTCGTGCTAAACGTATTGATGCTGCTGCGATCGCCAAGCCTGAGAACTCGACGCAGATCACAGACATCATACGATCCGCTCCTCGTCCGGACTGGCAAGTTGACTCGAGTGAGCATGCTGCGATTGTTGTTGAGCATCTCTACCAAGGGCTCCTCGCTCATTTCCCTTTGGAAAAACGTCGTTTGCACGCAAGGTTTCTTTCTGAAGCTACGTCCGCCCTGCACCAGACTGTTTCTTCATTACGCCATGCTATTCGCACGCAGAAAGCCGCTCTGCGATCTGCATACCTCAGGTGTGCCCTAGCCGCATGGCGCGGTCTTGTGGTTGACTTCACTGACGCCTTTTCGGGGCGGTGGCTTTGGATGATGTTTGTTCGATTTGGGCGGAACTGTCTCCTGTTACGTCGGCTAGGACGACAACTCAGGCAGTCATGCCGCACCGACAAGGCGGAATACCTGTCTCGCCTTTCTTCAGAAATTGCTGAGGCTCCCTGCCGGGAGCTTCATACTGCGGTCCAGCGTGTTCTCCGGCCTCGCAAATACCGTAAGGCCTCCAATGAGCCTCTCCCGACCCTCAGGCGAGCCGATGGCACTCTGTGTGTGTCTGAGGCGGAAATCACCGCCGCATGGCGAGACCACTTCAGCACCCTTGAAGGTGGCAGTCAGATCACCCCCCATGAACTTGTTGAGAAGTGCAGGGCTGCTGTCGTTACGGAGGGTGACTTTGACCCGCTCTGTGCAGCTAGTGTGCCGTCTTGGATTTCCCTCGAGGCTGCCTTTCGCCATTCAGCTCCCCGCAAAGCGGCTGGCCCTGACCTTCTTCCTCCGGGCATATGTAGACATTTTAGTGCCCCAATGACCGAGCTGTTTTGGCCTCTTCTCCTCAAGACCGTTTGCCGTGTTAGCGAACCGGCTGGGTTTAAGGGTGGTATCCTGTACCACATTGACAAAGGCAAGGCCGGATGCCGTGGTACGTGTGATGCCCACAGGGGCATTTTGGCCCAATCCTGCCTGGCTAAGACCTTCCACCGGTCCCTGCGCGGTCTCGTCGTCAGGCACTGGACTTCACACTCGCTCCCGATGCAGCTGGGTGGTAAGTCTGGTTGTAGCTCAGTGTTTGGGCACCTCTGCTCTAGGTCCATCCTGAGCTTTGCGCGCTCGCGGAACCTTTCGGCGGGATTACTTTTTGTCGACTTAGCTTCGGCATACTATGCCGTCATCCGGGAGACCATTCTAGGCGGAGGCCTTGCCGACAAGCCTCTTGCTGAGATTGCAGGTGCCCTTGGACTTACCGACGAGGATCTCCAGGTGTTGCATCACTATGTTGCCAGGGAGCCCATCCTCAAGCAGCAATCGGCGGATCCCCTGCTGACGGATTTAGCTCGGCAGCTGCATCAGCAAACCTGGTTTGTTTTGGCGGAGGACTCCCACGTTGTGGAAACCATGCGTGGTACTCGACCGGGGGGTACCCTAGCAGATGCCCTTTTCAACGTTTTATTTGAACGTGTTCTGGCTCGCAGGGCCTCGCCTGCCTTGTCTGAGTCTTTCCCTCTCGTCCCGTGGGATGGTGTACGTACTCCTTTCCCTGGTGATTTGACTGATGCGCCACGGATGCGTATTACTGATATCGTTTATGCGGATGACCTGTGCACTCCTGTTGTTTGCACTCACCCTGCGCGTCTGCGCCAAACGATCTCTGCTGTCACGGCGGACACCATGGATGTCCTTGCTCCGCATGCTCTGCGTGCCAACCTCGGACCTGCCAAGACAGCGGCTGTGGTCGCGCCTGTTGGTGCCGGTTCCCGCCAAGCAAGGCACGAAATGTTCGTCTCCCTCCGCGGTCGGGCTCCTGTTTGGCCTGAGAGCAAGGGAGTTCTGTGGCTGGACTTGGTCCCTCGATATCGGCACTTGGGATCTCTGGTGTCTTACGATGGCCGGATGGGTCCCGAGGTGAGACATCGACTTGCGCTGGCTGCCTCCTCTTTTCGGGAGGGTCGCCGGAAGCTTTTCGCGTGCCAACAGATTCCTATTGCCCGTCGCGCTGCGCTGTTACGTAGCCATGTCCTTTCAGTGCTTTTGGCTGGGGCTGGCAGTTGGCCCCTATTGCAGAAGCAGGACTGGTTGGCTTTTTCTGGTGGAGTTCTTGGTATGTACAGGCAACTTCTCGGGCTCAGGGCGTCTGGTGGATGGAACCTGACGGCCCACCAGCTTCTCGCGCGGGTTGGTTTGCCTTCTCCCGCCGCACTCCTTCATGCTGAGCGGCTCCGCTTCCTTGGCCAGTTGGTACGGAGCGCTCCTGATCAGGTGTGGGCCCTTCTTGCTTGGAACGCTCCTTATCGCGAAGGGCTGCGCTGTGCAGGTGCCTGGTTCCACTCCATCATGCGTAACACCTGCCCTTTGGGTCCCATTGACCAGGACTGGTCCTCCTGGTCACGGCTCCTTGGGGAACAGACCGGAAAGTGGAAAGGCCTCCTCAAACGGGCTGAGGCATGGGACATTGAGATTGCCCGCTTGCGTGCATCCTTTGATTCTGCCGTCCGGGCTGTTTGGGTCCACGACCAGCCGGATATTACTTCACCACTTGCTGGCATGGAGCATGGATGTCTTATCTGTGGCCTTGCCTTTGCCAGCCGCCAGCAGTGGGGAGCCCATGCCCAAAAGGTGCACGGATACCGTAACCTTGCTGCCAGGCTGGCCATTGGTCGTACTTGCCGTGCCTGTAACAATGTTTATGCTACCGGGTCCCGGTTAAAAACACATCTGCTTTACTCTGCCCGCTGCCGGCAGTTCCTCGAGTTGAATGCCTCTGCCCTCCCAGGGCCGGACTTGTCTAAGGCTGGGCATGAGCAGATGCCTGCTTTTCGCTGCCGCGCCAGCGAGAGCTTACCCCCGGCTGGACAGGAGCTTTCTTCAGAACTCCTCACTGCTTTGACTGCGGCGCCGATGACAACCGACCAGGACATCTATGATGTTGTTGCGTCCGTGGTTTCTCCCCTCCCGGTGCTGCGTCGTACTCTCCTTCATTGGCAGCGTACCCTGCCCCCAGGGGTTGTGGCAGATGCTGCGGCGGATGTCGCACTTGTTCTGTTCCCTGAACATGTTTGCTCTCGAGTCTGCGGCAAGACTCCTGACGCTGCCCCAAGCCCTGCCTTCGCGCCTCTTCTCGTGGTGCCTACCCCTACAGTGCCTGATGCCCATCTGCCCGTTATCTGGGCTGGTGCTCTGAATCAAGAATGGGTCGCCGGCTGTGGTCTGGGCGGACACTCCTTTCAACGAGTGGAGCCCTGTGAGCTCCCTGCTTGCTACTGTGTCTGCGTTGGACTTTGTGTCTACCTTCCGCCCCCTCCTTGTGGTGACCCTTGTTTTCTTGATCCAGTTTCAAAGTCTCTTCGACTTTTGAGACAGCATTCGGACTGGACCTCACGCTTTCTGTCGGTTTTGAGGTGTTGTCTCGGCACTGCCTATATTGGGACGCATGTTTTCCTCCGCGTTCCCTTTCGCTTCGGGCAGTTTGAGCCCCTGTCCACCTGGCTACAAGATGTAGCGCGGGAGGCGGGTGTGGCTTCTCCCTCATGTTTCACTGTGGAATTCAATGCTATGGACACGTCGCTCTGACCTTTCGCCCTCCCAAGCAAAAAATATATATATATATATATCAGTTGCCTCTTATCCAATTTCAATACTGACATTCAGATACGCGGACGAAGGGCTTGTTTTGCCCAAACGCCCCCCGGATCGTTATGTCTTGAAGCTTCACCGCTCTCTCTACTACCCACTGTACAGGCCCTGGTCCCACAGTTCAGTTCAAACCTTGACATCGACACCATAGCTTCAGTTCTAATTTAAAGCGCGGCTCCCTTCAAAACCCGCTGTGCCCAGTCCTGGATATCGTTTAGCTTCTCTCTCCTGCAACTCCGAGCTGAGCAAGATGTACCCGGAGGCGGGGATCTTCGACTATCGAATCAGCGGCAACGCCAGAGATGACTCAATGCTGATGATGTTTTGTGGTTGTTAGACCGTTAAGAACTTGGGACTTGCGACAAGTACAATTTCATCCTACACAGCCTGCACAGCTGTCGGATACCGTAGCAAGATGTAGCAAGGATTTTGGCCCCGCGAATGGAAATCCTGGAATCACGAGACAGACCGCGGTATTGATAGCATTGCTAAGACCCGCCAGAAATTTGGCAGCTCGAACATCAAAAGTCTACGCCTCCGCCCCCCCCCCCCCCCCCCCTCCGGAATTTGAACCGTCTAAACCCTAAACCCTAAACCCCGTATAAACTCTGAGCCCTGCACTCTCCCAACTCGGGGCCGGAAAGCTTGGGGTTAGCAGTCAATCTGACACGATTTGCAGCCTGACAAGGGTCTCGGTTTGAGGATCTCAGGTAAACCGGGTCCTTGTTGGATGCAACTCTACCTTTTCTGTTATAACAAAACCCGATAAGGATTAAAAATGATTTTTTTTAATGTAGCCCCAACAGGTGACCAGTACAGGGCTTATGGTGACTTTTAGGCCTCCCGGACCAAGAGGCCCAGAACCCAAACCCAGAAACATCCCAGCCCTTTTATGCTTTTCCAGGCTTCTTGCTGGGCCGTCCTTCCGCAGACCTTCGGCTATGATGGTAAAGCAATATTTCAAGTTTAGGGCTTAGGGATTACGGGGGGCGCGGGATATTGCTCTGGCGAAGATGGTGTTCTTGCCGGGCCGGGGGATAAAGCACAAACGGGTTTACACACCCAGCATGGATAGTGCGATGACGAGTGTGACACGCGGTGCCAACAGTGTTCAGACTGTGGCACGTACACGTAGAACCAGCTTCAAACCTCGGAAGTTTATATTATCCTTTCTACCAGGATGCTTACATATATATATATATATATATGTATGTGGTTTCGTGTCCCTGGTATGTTACATTCGTGTGTAAATCTTGCAGGTATGTGTTGAATGTGTGTCGCTGTGAGGGCCTGCTTTTCTCGTACAAACATGAGTGTGTTTCACTGTTTTTTCTCATGTTTTTTCTGAGTTTTGTTGACACGTCATGCTTCGACATTTGTTGACACTATTGCTGTAAATGATCACAGACTGACATGTCGGTAATATCCGCTTATGGCACAAACTACAGAAGCTGACTGCCCAGTTATGCTTCAATGTCACAACATATAGCTGCACTGATATGATCTACGACCACAGAGCTAAGATATCTAATTACCTGCTATACTGCAAATTCGATAGAAGCCTATCATCTCTTATCGGGGTTTAGCCTGCTTGCCTTATCGAGGCTTTGGAATTGTTTTGGTTTTAAGACCCAACATCTCTATTTGGGTTTAAGTGGTATTGGATCTTTTTTTGGGGGGGGGCGGGGGGGAGGTGTGGGGTGTCAGAGTTTGAGATGCTTGCGACCTGGTTAGAATCTTGGGTGTGACGCATTGTGACACCCATCATCTCTCATCATAATTCGGGATAGCCATCTGCAGGCTTGGTGGCTCGCCGGCAAGGACCTGTCTCACGCACATCCTCAATGCAGAGGTCAGAAAGGTTGACATCGGACGTACGTCTCCGGAGGAGCTGTGGGTAGTGGCTGGCTCCTGATGGCACTGTGGAGATGCAGCCCCACAGCACTCCCAGTCGACCGCGGTGTGAAAATGCCGGTGTCTGCGTAAATTTGGTCTAAAAGAAATGATGCTTTCAGGGCTGTGGGAGTGTTCGCTTTGTCACAGCTTCTGTGGGGCTTAGGACTAGGATTTCGTGAGTCTTGGTATCTTACGGACCGTACGCGAACTTCCCTTCATCTGCATCCTTTGCTGTTACTTTCAAGTACCTACAAGACCCACCAGCTTCTACGTATGAAGCGAGGATTGGCGGTCAACCTAGAGCCTAGCCTAAATCCTCTTCCTTATAATTAAGCCATAAATCCGTAAGTCCCAAACGCCTGACCTGAGCGTATAAATGCCTCAAAGACTTACGCCTCAAGCCTCCACCCAAATCCTTCTACCCTGAACGTGGAACCCGTACACTGGACTCGTCAACCCCAAATCCTGGACCCAAGCCCCGAACTCCAGACTCAAAGCCCTATAATCTTACCAAATCCTCAAGCCTCGTAGGCACGTAAGCATGGCCCCAGGCCCGGCTCGTGGTTCTCTCTCTACCAGCAGTTTTAAGACTCACATGAGTAAGAAGGATCCAAATCATGACAACAACACAAAGCCACTGCATAAGACCAGTGGTCAAGAAGATGGTCAGTATCGTGGGTGCGGCAGGCGTCGCAATGGTAGTCGTTTTCCACTCGCATGCGTGCTGGTCCCACCTGCTACGTCAGGAGGCGAAGCCAAGCTTGGCTTCTGCCCTGCCATCCACGGACTCAGACCCCTCAATCCAAGACTTCTGATAATTTCTCTTGGTGTACAACACGTCTCGGGGGTCTGTGGTTTAATAAAGCTTTGTACTTTTGTCCATGACTTCCCACAGACTCTGTCTATCAGAAAGAGAGTTCGAGTCTTAGATCGCCGTTCTCTCAAGGTGCTGAATCGCAAGGGCAAGGAGCTGCGGCACTTGCTCTACAAGCGAAAGCCTCAGAATGGCTCAGACGTTCATGGCAGCTGCCAGTTTCCAAGTTTCGAAGAAGACAGCCGACGTTTAGGGTTTAGGGTTTAGGGTCCAGTGATTTAGCGATGGTAGAATGCCGCTGCAGCTCCGCTTAGGCCGCGTGTTGGCCTGCCAGTTTTCACCGAGCACAAGGTGGCACTTGGGCCTCCTTTGAGCAATATATTATAGTATAATTATTATAGTATAACTATTATAGTATAATTATTATAGTATAACTATGATGGTATAATTATTATGGTATAATTATTATAGTAGTTGTGTTCTACCATATTATAGCATATCATGATATAAGACTTTGAGAGAGATGACTGCAGCCTGGCCTGGTGCTGAAAGCTTAGTTCCGCAAGCCTGGCCACACGGAGTCGAACCAGAAGAAAGAGGGTTAGGGCTTAGGGTTTAGGGTTTAGGGTTTAGGGTTAGACTTCCAAAACACCTCCAATAATTCCAGAGACATGGGCGCGAGCGCAGGTTCGTCGGTTGATGCGCCGAGCCAAGAATTCTGAAGGCAATGGCCATGTCAAACGGGGGGAGGACACTGTTTGCATGTTTGCCGTATCCCACTCTATTACAGGCTCAGGTACGACTCGCCCTTTGTCCATAAGTCGTGCCTTTGTTGATTCTGACGGGTCTGGGGTCGCCGGGTCAGAACTGCTACAAGAAAATCTCAACCCTAAGCCGTGATGCTGTAGTTCTGCTCGCGGCTCCTGGTGCACCCAAGCAGGAGGCACTGTCTTCCGGGTTACGGTCTGGCGGCCAACGGCTGAAAATCGAGACTTCCAGGTTTGTCGGAGTCCTGCTTCCTTTTGCCGAGATCTACCGAAACCCTACAAAACGTACCGTAGACGGAGTTCTTAGCTGTTTACAGACCCAATTAGTCTATATCCGAACACTGTTGGCATCCATACTTTGCAAGAACCTTTTTCTGCCGTGATCAGAGATAGACAGGCCGAGCTGGTATTTGTAGCTTGACATGGACCCTTTTGGGATCTGCTTCATTGTGTCAGACCAACAGGACACCACTCCAACCCCGTAGCTGGGATGCAGCTGTCCAATCTGCTCAATCCAGCGAAGGATTTCCATATTAGATGCTCCTAAAACCCTAAAACTTAAGCCCTGCCAGGCGTGCGCATCAACCGATTCGTGCGCCCCCAGCACCTGCCGCCGAACGCCCCCGGAGCACCTTATGCCAAGCCGATGAAGGCCTTCCCTACGCAACGGCTGAATAACTAGAATAGAGTGCGGGGGTATATTACGGTATATTACAGTAAAAATTTCATGTTTGTAGTAGAGTGGTGGCTCCTGTAGCATCCTCACATCGAGTAGTTATTAAGAGCCGGACAGACGAATCTGGGGCCACCAGCTGCGAGGATAAAGTCGGGAGACCTACAGACCCAGCCGCCTTTCATCCACTTCCTTCCAATCCCTGCGCCCTACCCGCTTTACACAGAAGATCCTGCAGGCATTCTTATCAGTGGTCAGCTTTTAAGTGGCAGATCTCACCCGGCACGAAGGCAAATCGCGAGTGCACATGGAGCTTTGTCGTCTGAAACCTGCGCAGGACGTCTACGCCGAAGTGCCGTCCCGAACTCAAAGTTTCAGAAGTGTGGCCCCAGCTCCTTCACGATAAAAGGCAAGCTTGCCAGTTCCGGCAATGCAGCTTACCTGGCGGAGGTCGTCAGCTCTTAGAATCTATCCGCCTTGAGGCCTTTGGGCTGGCAGAACATGCCGGAGTATGCCCACCTGAAGAAAGCACCAGAGCAGCTTGGCTGCAGTTTTGATCTGAGACGGTTGAAGTTTACTGAAAGAGGACAACGCTGTGCTGCGCATGAAGAGAAACAGCCACGGTAGCCTCTATTCTCGGAAGAGCTTGCTCTCCCATGCATAGTGACATGCCTCTGCAGTGAGTTTCCCAGAGACCCTTGCCTTTCCTCACCGAGTGCAGTCGCCTTTCCACCTTTCCTATCTCACACCAGGTACTTTGGGGTTTAGGGCTTTAGGATTTCATAGAGAAGGTGTCACGTTTAGTAGCTAGAGTCAGCTTCTATATCCAGTTCGGTAAGTTAGACAAGATGATGCCACTGTGATTTTTAAACTCTTCCCCCTCCCCCCCACTCCATTGATTCTGCTGGCGGTGCAGGGTGTGTGGGGGTCCTGTGGTGTCCGAGTGGTACTGGGAGCAGTTTTTCAATTCGACATCAGTCTGGCGGTTTGGAGCGGAGTTTCTTGATCACTTGAGGGTGGGATTATATGGATGAGTCTTTCAGCCTAATGGGTACCAGACCAATCTCGAGTCATACGGCGTCATATATGCGATGTCCAGATTAACATGGCTGGGCTTCATTCGCGTGCGCTGTTTTTGCAATACTCCTCGGCCCTTCAGCCAGGTCAGCCGAGGAGCCAGCAGCAGCTCACCTGGTGGGGCTAGAACGAACAAGTAAACAGGAGAAGTTTCTTCCGATGTTGGAGTTGCTTTCCTGTTGGCCTTGGCGCTTCCCGAAGAAATCGGAGTAATCGTCGTCTTCGTGGCAGCAGTAGTGGTCGCTGAAGCGGCAGTGGTTGTGGTTACGGCGATTACGACGGTGGTAGCTGTAGCTGCAGCAATGGTACCGGTAGCTTTGGGGCAGCTGTAGTTGTAGCTGTAGCTGTAGTGACGGTAGTAGTCGTCGTAGTAGTAGCAGTGGCGGTGCCAGCCGTATTCGTCGTAGTAGCAGTAGCAGCGCAGTGCCACTACCACTACCGCTGCTACTACTACTGGTACTGCTGCTACTACTGTTACTACTACTGTTACTATTACCACTACTACCACTACTAGTACTACTACTACTACTACTACTACTACTACTACTGCTACTGCTACTGCTACTGCTACTGCTACTGCTGCTGCTACTGCTACTAGTTCTAGTACTACTACTACTACTACTACTACTACTACTACTATACTACTACTAGTACTACTATTACTACCATCACAACTGCTACTACTACTACTACTACTACTACTACTACCATCACTACTGCTACTACTACTACTACTACTACGACGACGACGACGACGACGACGACGACGACGACGACGACGACGACCACTACTCACTACGACTGCTATTCCTACCACTCCTTCTACTGCAGCTGCTACTGCTGCCGCAGCTGCCGCTTCTACTACTTTGCTACTGCTGCTGCTGTTGCTGTTAAATAATACTACTGCTACTACTGCGACGAATGAAATCGGTATATTTATGTGACTAATACCAACCTTAGCTAGTGGCAGTAGTAGTAAGCTTTTTTTCTTCGTGACAGTAGATACTCGCACAACTGTCCCGCTTAGCAGCCACAGGAAGCCAGAACAAAGTAGAGCAAAATATCACTTGACATGAAGGACCACTTTGCCGGAATATGCCATGCTACCAGGTGTTACCAGCTAGCAGCCACCAGAAATAGTGCTGGTGTTTGCTGCAATGGTTCCAACGTTTGAAGAAGGACTAGTCAACGCAGCTGCAACACGTAGTATCGGCAGCAGCGGCAATAAGACTCTCAGGCATGGGTCGAGAGGTGACGATAACAACCCCAGTCATGCATGTGAATATAAGATATGGCCAAATATCATAATCTCATCAGCAAACTAGATGCACCAAGACCGAGGCGTCGGAAGAGGCCCCAGAAGAGATCGTGGAGGAAGCGCGGGAGAATCCCAGAACGTCCGGCACTGTTCGGCCCGGTTGCATCTATCTCGCTCGGGCCTGGGCCGTTTCTAGAGTCTCCCGACAGTGCCCACTTTAAGCCTGGCATCCTAGCATGGGCATATTCCGTCATATGCCCATTCCAAGCCGGAAACCAAGTACGGCGGAACTAGAAATTCAGGGCATTGTGCCGAGTGTTTTTGTTGTTAGCACGAGTCTGTGCAGGTAGAGGGTACCTTGTGTTTTGTGACAGAAAAAGGGCTTTCAGTAAGTGACAGCGTCTGACAAATAGAAATGTCAAAGAAAGTGTGCGTGAATTGAATGCTTCTCTCGTCCGCCTCGGCCCGGCCGGAGGGGCGGGGGGAAGGGGGACAGATTCTTGCTCAGACTGCCTACAACAACTGAGTGCTGGACACGAAACAGGAAAAGAGGGGGGAGGGCGGGGTCAGGTGGGCTGGGATGAGTGAAGATGGGTCATTGGGGAAGAGATTAAGAGGAGGGGAAGCAGTAGGAAAATCTGACCGCCCGAGACACGGTAGCAGCCCTCCTAGAGTCCTAGACATCCTCGTCGCAGTGCTGCAGAGGACGAGCCATAGTTTAATTACAGCATCGTGCGACCAACGTTCTTCAACAAGTTTCAAAGGAGTTAGAACCAGACGAATCGTGACGAACATGTTGAACACGCACATGCAAGCTCACACACGCATGTAATTTCACTGGAGCTTGCAGGAGTCGGAGTGAACGCGCAGGCGCCTCAGAGGGGACAGCGTGCTGGAGCTGAGCATGCTTGAAGCATATGGGTTTTACAGAATGCAAGGTTTAGGAAGTTGGATTCCCAGCATGGTGCTCTGAGCCTAGAAGCAGCACGGCCCCACGAATGGATGCAGACCTGTGTACAGCAAGATGACATGGCGCAGATTTACGACAAAGGCCCCGAGAAGTGAAACCTGCCTGTTCCTCAGCCCTGGCAGCTACGAGCAAAACATTTGCCGAGGTTCTGCAGTTTGAGCAAGGCGGTGGTATGGCTGAAGGGCTGCTGAGTTCGCACCTGTGCAACGGAATGCGCGGAACAAAAATGCTGGCTCTCGGGGACAGCAAGAGGTGGGCAGCAGTTATAATCGGAAGCAGGTCCTAATCCCAGTCATCTTCCAAAGTGGCAGTGGAACAGTACGGACAATCCCGGGCAAAGAGCATTTGCCATGCCACGACAGAGGATTTTTTCTGTCATGGTTTGCAGGTCATGTCATGCACTAATGTACGCACTGGACATACGGCTTGGCCTACACTACATGTGGCTTGGCCTGTGGCTAGTAATGCTTCACAGTGCTCACACTAAGCAGGGTCTCACAGTTCGCCAGACTTAAGTGGTACAGACCCATTGGAAATCTGCATATCCTGGAAGATGCAGACCGCTGTCCACGGTTTCATAATTGTTCAAAGGCCGTTGAACTACCCTGAAGTTTTACCGGCAAACGTACGGAGTGAGTTTCTTGGAGCTACTTGTGGAGTAGACTTCAGGCTTCAGTTTTGTTTCAAGCTAGAGTGGGTTGCGATGTTTTTGGGACAGACCATGATTGCAACGCCAACAACCAACAACCACCATCACCAACAATAACGGCAATAACCCAAAGCCACAGCCGCAGCCACCACAAACCACTACAGCCATCAGCCACCACCACCAACAACAACAGCAACTTATAGCCACAGCCACAGCCACAGCCACAGCCACAGCCACAGCACAGCCACAGCCACAGCCACAGC